CAAAACCCAGGCATGTGCCCCTGACAGGAATTGAACGTGGGACCCTTCAGTCCACAGGCTGACGCTCTATCCACTGAGCCAAACCAGCCAGGGCAAAATCCCTCAGCTTTTGAACCCCACACCTAAATTGTTTATTTCTGCATCCATCATATCTCTTCATTTCAGTCTCAGAGAAAGAGGCATAGTATCCTTCCATGTTAAAAGGCTAATCCTTCCACGTTTAAACTCTTAATCCTTTCCCACTTATATACCCTGAGCTTGCCATCGATTATCTCCTTTCCCTCTGTTTTCACATTCTCCCAACCTGCTGACACCTTTTCCCAAACCTGTGAACACGCTAAAGGCTTTTCCACCATAAAAAAAAATCTCTTTAATTTCTAGCTACTACTTTCCTACTTCTTCCCTTCATCTTTGAATTTTTTGAGTTTATATTTACCTGTTTCCTAAGCACTCATTTACTCCTCAATAATTGGAATCCATTCCATTAGCCCAAAGAAATTGCTATGTAAAGATTAACAATAACCTTCTGTCAAATCCAATGAAAAAATTTCCAATTGTTTATCCCCCCAGTCTTATTGATACTTTCCTATTTCTTCCCTTCATCTGTGAATTTTTTGAGTTTATATTTACCTGTCTCCTAAGCACTCATTTACTCCTCAATGTGTTATAATTGGAATCCATTCCATTAGCCCAAAGAAATTGCTATGTAAAGATTAACAATAACCTCCTTACTGTCAAATCCAATGAAAAAATTTCCAATTGTTTATCCCCCCCAGTCTTATTGAGATATAATTGTCATATATCACTGTATAAGTTTAAGATGCACAGCATGATGGTTTGCCTTACATATATTGTGAAATGATTACTGCAATAAGTTTAGTTTGAATCCATCATCTCATATCCTATATAATAAAGAGCTAATATGCTAATTAGACCGGATGGCAGAACGACCTTCTGGATGACTTTCTGAATGACCAGTGGGCAGGGCTGTGGGGCCTTGAGGCAGCTGGGGCTGTAAGGGCCAAGTCCTTTGCATGAATTTCATGTATCAGGCCTCTAGTAGATACAATAAAAAGAAAGGGCAAACAAGAAAAAAATACTTTTTTCCTTGTGATGAGAACTCTTAACATAAACGTTCATATATATTATATAGCAGAGTTAACTATGTTCATCATGCTGTATATTGTATCCCTAGTATTTATTTATCTTATAACTGGAAGTTTGTACCTTTTAACCAACTCCTCCTCTTCCCACCACAGAATTTTGTTTTTCTTGAATTCCTAAGAATATTTGATAATGTTGACCACTTTTTCTTCTTAAAAATTTCTTCTCTGAGCTTCTGGCTGCCTTGCCATTTTAACAATTCACCTGCCTCT